CTGACTTTTGTCTTGTCAGCGAACTTCGATGACTCTTGAAGAAAGAGTGAGACTGATGACTTTGTGCAACTCTGCCTCATTTAAATCCAACTCGTAAGTCAAGATATCACCCATCACATCTTGATGTCATTGGTCCTTTTCAAAAATGAAGGATGAACAACAGTATTATCCTACAGAACTCTGCTTTGCAATTGAGTAAGGGGCTGCCCTCGGAGGAGAATGAGAGGAGAGAAGGAATGCAAGAGTAACATCTGCTTTTACCCCTCAAGTACAAAAAATCTAATTTACCATGTTTGTCATTCTAAATTTACCTGGGGCTTTTTTTTTTAGATTTCTAAAAGCATCACCCTTTTGTTGTGTTCCAAAATCCATTCATTTATTCTCTCAGCATTTATTAGGCATCTCTTGTATTGAGAACACTGTATTAGATATTGGGGGACAATATAGCATTTAGATGAGGCATGGCCCCTGCCCTCATGCAGTTTATGCGTTATTAAAAGAATAAGATAAGCACAAATAACTGATGTATAATAAGTACCTTAGAGAGGGACTGAACAAAGAGCTAGCTAAGATCCAAAGGAACAGTTTAGTATAGATAGGACATGAGAAACGACTTTATCTAAGAGGTAGCATTTGGGTTTAGCTTTAAAGGATAAGCAGGAAATTAGAGGCAAAGAGAGGGAGGGAAGATACTCATAAAACAAAGAATAATGTCAACAAAGACCAGAGGAAAAGGAAGCAGAGAACACATAGAGGGTCCAATTTGGCAAGTGCAGAGGAGTGATGAAGAATGAGAGAATATAAGTCTGGAAAGATACCACCAGATTTTAGAGGGCCTTCAATACCAGGTCCAAGGCCTCAGGCTCTTTTACTTAGGCAGTGAAAAGGCTAATTGGTGGTGGGGGTTGTAGTGGTGGGTTTTTTATTGTTGTTATTGCTGTTGTTTTGTGTGTTTGTGGGTGTGTGTTTTTGGTTGGGTTTTGGGTTAGTAGTCTCTCTATCTCCTTTTCTTGCCCAGGTTTTGGGTTGGTAGTCTCTCTGTCTCCCTATCTTGCCCAGGCTAGAAATGCAGCAGCCACTTATGGACCCAATCTTACTGTTAATCAATATAAAAGTTTTGATCTGTTCTGTTTGTCCCTCCTTAGGCATCCTGGTGGCCCCTTGCTACCTGGGGCTCACCATATTGGTGCCTGACTTAGGGGGACACCCAGTCAACTTTAGCCCTCCAGAATCTCAAAACTGGAGCTCAAATGATCCACCAGCCTGAACTTACCTGGTAGCAGGGATTAGGTATGCCCTGTAATTACAGGTACCCTCACAACTGACTCCATTGAAGATTTTTGAGCAGAAGAATTAAATAATTGATACATTAGAAAAAATAAGTCTAATAGTGAAATTAAGGATGGATAGGAGGGGAAAGAAAATGGAAGCAGGAATAATTTTTATAAGGCTATAATAATGGTTGAATTAGGTGGTAACAGGGGCTTATTATGAAGGTATTCATAGTGGGAATAGAAAGGAAGGGACATTTATGGAAATAGAAGCAAAAGGTTTTGGTGAATGCTTAGATATGAGTCGTGAGGAAGAGTCAGAAATATCACTAGGGTTTCAAACATGGGAAGCTGTTAATGGTAGTGCCAGTAATAGAAATGGTAAAGTCAGAAAAATGGCAAATATTAATACAGTACATTAAGATTTGCAATGTGCTTTATATGGATTATTTTATTTGTCATACAAATTTACAGGCAACAAGTTTACAGGAGGAAATAATCGAATCATAGGACTGGAAGGGGCCTTAGAAGCCATTTACTCTAATGTCAGCTGAGGGTGACAATGGAACATCCAGATGTAGATGCCTTATAATTAGGTGCAAATCCACTTATAGAGAAGCCAAGACTTGGAATGAAGATATAAAAGGGGATAATTAAAACCTAGGGAATGAATGAGATGGCTAAGGGAGAAGAGTTGAAGTTCAGGGACAGATCATTCATCTTAAGAGGTTAGGAATGAGACTGAGGATCTGTTAGCAAAGTAGAAGGAGGATCTGAAGAGTATGGTGAAGACTGAAATCAAAGGAGGAGAGAGAATCTAGTAGGAGGAAATGGCCAATAGTGTCAAATACTATACAGAGTTCAATAAAAAATGGAGACTTTAAGAACGTTGTTGTAGTTGGTAATTAAAATTGTTGGGAGGATCACATAGATAGATAGATTTAGATAGCATCATATATATATGTAAATGTGTGTGTGTGTATATATATATATATATATACATATATATGAAACTGATTTGAAACTGCAAAGTACTGTTTAAATAGGTCACATAAGCATGTGTCATTCAGCACTTGTAATCAGGAGAACAGACTACTTTACTAAGCTAAGATTATATTAAATGATGAACCAGATCACCAGCTTATAAAGTTGATTGTGATGATGAAGAACTGCTTCTTGTATTGGGGGAAATGTCCAAAAGAACAAGTGGCTGTCAGACACTTTAGACTGTGAGCTCCTCAAGAACACGGCCTGTCTTTTGCCTTTCTTTGTTTTCCCAGAACTTAGCATAGTTCCTGGTACATAGTAGGCACTTACTGAATGCATGTTGAGTGATTATTAAAACTATGTAAATTAGACAAAATAAACATAAACTATATAAATATGTCCAATCATTCATAAGTCTGTATTCCTCCACTGAAATTTTATTTCAATGAATCATCATGGCATGGAGGTGAATATCCTACCCCTTGGCTCCAGAAGTCCAAGACAGTGGAGTGCAAGTGGTACAAATCTGGAAAAATTTTGGGTGCAAGCCTGGCAATGGACTTAGTATAGTGTAAGTATAGAGAGACTTGGTACCAGAAGGCAACCTATGAGATGATTAATTTTTCAGTAACAGCAACTCATAAAGAGCATCCACTAGGGCGTGTAAGGGGTTGTGATCTGCATCAAGGGAGGGAATACCCATGCCAGCAAGTTCATCTATCTTTTGAGGTGCTGAGGAAGTCAACCTTAGCATTACTAGTCATAACAAAAAAGCGCTCCTGTAGGCTGTGAAGGAGCCAATCAAATGCTCAGCAATTTTTTGTGCTAAGCAAGATAATGAACCAAGTACCAATCCCTTCTTTCATCAGTCCAGTGGTGAAACTTGGAAAAAAATGTTTCTCATTTATCACACACACATCGAAGACGGCTTGATAAATAGACTGTTTCATAGGGCTTGGATTGCGCTAGAACACAAAACTGCTGTGTTTTTCAGCAAACGCTGAATACCATTGGGCAAATAACTCCAGTAATCAGGAACTTCATGCCAAAGTGCCTTCTTAAGGCCCTGAAGTTGGGGGTCAGGGTGAGGGGCTGAAGAATTTCTTGCTGACTTGGAGAAAAGTGAGTATTTCTAGGAATTGTCTGGAGATTGGGGTCAGTGCTAAGTTGTGTTCAGGGTACAGTGGAGGTCCTTAATAGAAAGGAAATCTGGGCTACAACCCTAGACTTTGAAGACAACACAATGGAGGGAAATCTTGCTTTCTCATAAAGTCTCTGAATGACGTTGTAATCAATAGAATTGTAAGCTGGGCAGATAGTTTTACTGAAGCCATGTGGCATGTTATTAGATCCAACAAAAATATTACAAAATGATAAATAACAAAGATAATTGGTATTAATGTTTGCAAAGGACTTTACCTACAGTAATATATACTTCACATATAGAGGTATTGTGGATAAGGCATTGGACTGAGAGTCAAGAAGATGGGGGATCAAATCCAATCTCAGATTAATTGTTGTCTCTGGGCAAAACACTTTACCTCTCCATGTCTCAATTTCCTAATCTGTAAAATGGGAGGGGGTAGATACAATGGTCTCTTCGATCTCTAAATCTATAATCCTCTGATTATATCAACTAAGCCTCCATATTGACTATGCAGCTGCCTCTCCTTCCTGGAATGCTATGGACTAGGAATAAACTAGAGATAGTCTGTGAATGCCCTTGACCATCCCCTACCAGGCTGGGGTTTGAACTAAGAGACTTTTTACTAGCTTTTTATATATCTAGAATGTACTCTTTTCTATATCTCTGCCAACCAAAATCCATCAAAACCCTTTCACTTCCTCCTTCCTGGGAAAGAAACCTCCCCAAATCTTCTCAGATGTAAATGATTTCTCTCTCTCCCCCTCTCCTTCCCTCTTTTCTCTCCTTCTCCTTCACCTGCCCCCCTCTCTAATTTTGCATTGCTAGCACTTTGATGCAATGAAAGATGGCTGGATTTGGAGTCACATACTCAACTCTGAAACTTACTACTTCAGTGACCTTGGGAAGTCACTTTACCCTTTTCAGGACTCAATTTCTTAAAAGCTCTTTTTTTTTTTGGCTAGGCAATGGGGGTAAGTGACTTGCCCATGGTCACACAACTAGTAAGTGTTATGTGTCTGAGGCCGGATTTGAACTCAGGTCCTCCTGACTCCAGGGCCAGTGCTCTATCCACTGTGTCACCTAGCTGCCCCAGGACTCAATGTCGTAATCTTTGAAAGGAAGATGTTGGATCAAACCGTTCCTATGATCATTTGCACTTAGCACCGTGCATCAGACTTATTTGCTGCTTTTATACTGTTTTTAGATAGTAAACTTTTTACAGGTAGGCATCCTGCCATTTCCATCCTTGTTTGTCATCCTTTCACTCATTAGATGCTTATTACATGTTGAGTTGGATTGAACAGGAGGGGTCGGGTGGTATAGTGGCAGGAATACTACCCTCAGTGTAAGATTAGTGTTGAATTTTGCCTCACCGCTTCTTATCTGTGTGACCTTGGAAAAGTCACTTTGTGTGTGGTCCTCAATTTTTCCTGCTGTGAAATGTAGAACTTAGACTAGTTCATCTCAAAAGTCCATTGCAGCTTTATAGCCTATAAACCAATGAATTAATGGATTATAAATGGATTTCATTGCAGTGCCTTTCAAAGCAGGGTGCTGGCTTTAATGGGTTTTCTTTTTCCTCTCTGTGTTTACAGTCTGGCACAGTGAAGCTGTCAAAACCAGTGGCTCTGTGGACCCAGCAGGATGTCTGCAAATGGCTGAAGAAACATTGTCCAAATCAGTATCAGATCTACAGTGAGTCATTCAAACAGCATGACATAACTGGTAAAGTATGCAGTATCCAAAATATTTGATACTCTTTCACTCACTGGGTGTCTTTTCTCCCTACCTTTTCTTGAAGTAACGCTTTAAGTAACCCCTCTGTGATGAGCTTACTTTAGTGAGATTCTAAATGTTACATGGAGGTGAGGCAAGGCCAAACCATTAGCCACTTTGCTCTGATTTTAGCCAACCATTAGTATTTGTCAGTTTCCAAGGCAAGGGATTTGAGAAATCCAGGAAGAAATGAGTATGCCAAGACTGAGGAAAGTGAGGAAAGATTTTGGATGCAGAATTTGAGGGAGTTGGGGGCTTCTCAAGCCTATTATTGGTGTGCTTGGTACTTGAGGACAATGCCTTGAATGCTTCTACCCCTAAATAAAACTATTAATACTAACCGAACACCATATAGATGTTAGTGAGATTAAAATGAAAGTCTGCAGGATCCTTTAGAGGCATGAATCATGGTTCTATGTAGCCATCCATTTGAGAATTATTATATGGAGGTAAACAATTTTTTTAAAAAATCCCCCATTTTATCTTAATTTTCTTTCCTACTTAACAACTACCAATAAATCCTAAATAAGGCCTTTGCTATCTCATCCCCACCCTCATTGTTAGCACTTTACCGCTGCAATTACTTTCCGCCTACTTTGTATTTGCTTCATGTTATGTTACTTTCCTCCAGTTCAATGGAACCTTCTTTAAGGTAGGTTCTGTTTTATTTTTGTGTTTTTGTTCCTGGTGAAACAGCCAAGGGACACAATAGACAGAGCATTGGATCTGGATTCAGAAAAGCCATAGGTTCGAATCTGACCTCAGACACTAGCTATGTGACTCTGGGCAAGCCTGCCTCAGTTTCCTCATCCATTGCATGGGGATAATATTACTACCCACCTCCCAGGGTTGTATGAGGATAAAATAATACTTATAAAGCACTTTGCAAACCTTAAAGTGCTATGTAAATGCTATTATCATTATGATTATTAGTGCTTAGCACTATTCTTTGCACGTAAAGAGATCTTTAAGAAATGTTTATTGAATTGAATTGGGCACCTTGAAGCAGATTTATTGTTAATATAGGACATTTCTTACCAGTGTGCCAAGCAGTTATTGGAATCCCTAGGCTAGTGGATATTGTTTATAGAATCTGTTATTATGTAATTATTATGTTAAAATATTTTCAAAGTGTGATCCTGAATAAAAGTAAGCCACCCTACTTAGTGGACCTATAAATAGAATGGGGAGAAAGCCATTAGTAGCAACTGAAGAGCAGAGGTGTTTGGAGTTACCTGAGAGCATCAAGGTAACTTAAACTTTGTTCTGGGTCATGCCTTCTCTGGACAAGTTTCACCTCTGAATAGACCACATCTGAAGTACTGTATTCAGTCCTGGATGCCTCAAAACAGGAACAGTGATGAGCTGGAGAGTGTCCAGAGGAGGACCACCATAATGGTGTAGGAACTTGTGTTCATTTCAGATGAGTCAGTTGAAGGAACTGGAAAGATTTGGCCTGGAGAAGAGAAGACTTGGTGAGGTATAGGATGGAATGGTAGGGTTGGGTTTTTTTTCTCCAAATATTTGAAGGATTGCCATGTGAAATGAATTAATGAAATTTTATTTGGTCCTAGAGAGAAGAATCAAAAGTAATTTGCAGAAAGCAAATTTAGGTTTGATATCAGGAAAACTACCTCACAGAGCTATACAAAAATGGAATGGGTGGGGCAGCTAGGTGGCGCAGTAGATAGAGCTCTGACCTTGGAGTCAAGAAGACCTGAGTTCAAATCTGGCCTCAGACACTGGACACTTACCAGCTGTGTGACCCTGGGCAAGTCACTTAACCCCGATTGCCTCACCAAAAAAAAAAAAAGAAAAGAAAAGAAATGGGCAGCCTCAGGAGGTGGTGAGTTCCCTGTTGTTGGATGTCTTCTGGCACAGGTTGGATGACCACCTGGGTATATTATCCTGGGGATTCTTTTCAGATATGGCAGAAATTCTATGGATTCTGAAGTCAATTCTGACTCTGAAATTTTGTGTAACTATGCAAGAAAGTGATCCTTACATCATTTTAGGGAAGTAGATGAAAGAGGCAACTCTACCTCAAAGGGTAAGGCTGATTATTCAAATCTTACTGGTCAGAAGAGCCAGTATAAAGAGAATGAGTCAATGGAAAAACAAAAAGCACTCCAGGGAGATCTCTGTGAGTGGGTGAGGGAGGAGGTATAATTTAAGGCAGGATGCCTGTAACACTAGAAGAGAAATCCTAGAAATCTACAAAGGAAAGGGCCTTTGCTGTCCATGGAGTTAGGGGACTAAGACATAGATTTTCCAGCTCTATTGCCAGAGAATTGAGGTTGAGGGAAAAATATGTTTTCTTTTCAGGCTTAAAACTTTTTGAGAACTGATCACTTCTTTAATAAATTCCTCTATCTTCACATGGCTAATCCAGAAAAACTAACAAGTAGAGTACCCATAGGAAGGGAGTAATAATGACAGTGCTGATTGATGTCAGGGACTTTCTCTTCCTCTCCTAAGTTAGGGATGATACTCTGGACTGGAAGGTTACAACCATTTCTCTTAAAGCAGACTTGCATACAGTAAAGACAAACCATAGAGATTAAAAGAAGCATAGAATCTTATTTCAGGAAGGGACCTTTAGAGAGTGATGTGGTATGAAAAAAATAGAAATGGTTTTAGAGTCAGAAGACCTGAGTTTTCAGGCCACCACTCTCTCCTGGTTCTCCTCTTACCTGGTTCTCCTCTTACTTCTCCTCAGTCTCTTAGCTGGGGGTGTCCCACAGGGCTCTATCCTGGATTCTTCTCTTCTCCCTCTATATTACTTCTCATTAGCTCCCATGGATTTAATTAGCATGTCTATGCTGATGATTCTTGGATTTAGCTATACTGCCTTAACTGCTCCACTGACCTCTAGTCTCATATCCCCATCTGCCCATCAGACATCTCAAACTAGATGTCCAGTAGATAGCCTAAACTCAATATGCCCCCAACCAAATTCATTATCGTTCCCCCTTACACTCCCCCCCCCTTCCAAACTTCCTTATTTTTGTCTAGGGTACCCCCATCTTCCAAGTCCCCCAGGCTTGCAACCTAGGTGTCCTCCTCAACTCCTTACTGTCGCTCACTCCCTCATATCCAATCTGTTGCCAAGGCCTGATGATTTCACCTTGGTAACATCTCTTGAATATGCCCCCTTCTCTTCTCTGATACTGCCACCCCTTTAGTTCAGGCCTTCATCCCGTCATGCCTGAACTACTGCAATAGCCTATTGGTTGGTCTTCCTGCCATAAGTCTCTCCCCACTACAATTTATCCTCCAATCAGCTGCCAAAGTTATTTTCTTAAAGTTCTGGTCCAACCATGTCACCTCTATACTCTTAATCCAGTAGCTCCCAATCACTTCCAGGGTCAAATATAGAAAATCCTTGGTTTGATGGCATTTAAAGCCCTTCAATACCTAGCACTTTGCCAGTCTTTTTTACAATTTACATGAGAAACTCACATCTCTCTGCTCCAGGTATTTTCACTGGTTGTCTCCTATACCCGGAATGTTCTTCCTCCTCATCTCCACCTCCTGGCTTCTCTGGCTTCCTTCAAATCCCTGTTAAAATCGCACCTTCTCCAGTAAATGTTTCTCAATTATTTCTAATCCTTCCATTTGTTTGTTCTTTTCTATTTTCCTGTAAATTTGTAAGTTTGTTTGCTTATGAATAACCCATTAGATTGTAAACTCCTCAATAGCAGGGACTGTCTTTTTCCTTCCTTTGTATCCCAAGTTTGGCACAATGCCCATATAGTATATAGTGGACACTTAATAAATGCTTATTGATTGATTGACTCACATAGGTGCTAAATAATACTCTGTTCAAAAGAGAAAAAAAATCAACTCACTATGTATGTTGGAGGGGTTGTGGAAAGACAGGCACATTAACAGAGTAGTGGAGTTTAGAATTGATTCATCCATTTTAGAAAATGATTTAGATTTATTCAAGCAAAAAAGACCTTTGGAGCCAGAGATATGACTGTTAAGTCTATACCCCCAGGTCTTATTCCTAGCATAAGACATGGAAGAAAGATGTCAGGAAAAAGAGATTCCCAGTTTCCCAGGATTATATGCCCTCTTCAATTTATAAACATCTACCTTGAGTCTGTTATTATAATATCCATTGAGAGGAAGTATGGCATAATGAATAAAGAGCTGCCCTCTAACTAAGAAAGACTCAGGAATATTGAAGTCTTATCTCTGACAGAAACTGGCTATGTGATCCTGAGCAAGTTATATAAACTGTCAGTGCCCCAGTCAACTTTCTCAGACTGTAAATTACAGAATAGTATCTGATCTATATTGGTAAAGGGAGTTTCCTAAATAAATAAAATCACAGGTTCAAACCAAAAAAGAAGAGGGAAAATACTCCTTTTTTGTGTTGCCTCATAGGATTTTAAAGTTGCAAGAGCAAAGATATGTTCGAGTACAAGCCCATCATTTAATAGATGAGAAAACTGAGTCATAGGGAAATTAAGTGGTTTGCCCATTGTCATGTAGTGAATGGCAGAGTTGGGAATCACAACAGGTGGTGTGTAGTAATAACCCTTAAAAATCGAATAAATGTTTATGTGCTGTTTCTTGAGATTAGAGTAAGAAAGCAAAGGAAACTAACCGAGTCATTATCTCCTCAAGGCTGAGCTAATGGTGGAGAACTTAATCCAGAGCGGGGAGTGGTAGCAATTTAAAAAGAAATGACAAAAACCAGAACACACAAACATGAGGAGGGTGCCAAAGAGTCAGATCTTGTGATCCTTGCTATGGAGGGAGAAAAACCAGGTCATCTGGGTTCCGTTTAGTTTCTTCACCTTTAAAATGAAAATAATAAGATTTATCAGTTGATTAGCAGGAACTAAATATCTACTATGAACTAAATACTGTGACTTCACAGTGCTAGGAATAAAAACAACAGCAACAACAAAAATGAAATATACCCTTCTCTCAAG